TTCACATGTTACCCCCGGGTTCAAGCCATTTACTGCATCAGATTCTCCTTTTAAGCAACTTTGGAAATGTAGAAAGAACAGTGTGGATTTATTCTGCATTGAAAATCAGTTAATTTAAACACTTGAAATACTACTACATTTTTGAATGACTACTTCTATCGTGTGTTTTCAGCTGAAGGAGAAACTTGAAGTGCAAACCACAGTTAAAGAAGCTGAACTGGCCCTAATAAGGTAACTGTTTTGTTTCTTTGTCTAGTTTCTTGTATTTCTAGCATGTCCCATTGTTTATCCTCTTTGTGTGTTAGTTTTTTAACGGCCAAAACCTTATTTGAGCCAGTCAGTTTAATTCAAGCGTTTTTTTTTTTAAATGTCAGTATTGACATTTGACGTTGAGAAAGAAAAATCATGATCACCCCCCTCTAGCAGTGTTTATACTGAATCGCCAAAGTGTTCTCTGATTAAAAGCCAATTGGTCTTGGAGTTAGGAGTTTGGATTTGGATTTAAAAATATTTTTTAACACTGTTATAGAAAACAGCTTGATGACAAGAATAAAGAGTTTTACGATCTCAAGGTGGCTAACACTGCGCAAGAAATGGGACTAAGAGATGCTCTGTTTAAGATCAAGGATTTGGAGAGTTCCCTTAAGAACGAGGCGGGCTTTCATCAATCAATAGCACTCAGGTATGAGTTTTCCGATGTACATGTAACTTTTCTGTGGGTTGGATTCATATCCTGTTTGTAAAGCGCAAGCGGCTTCACTCAAATTCACCCTAGAATTTTACAAACAATTTTCACTCGTGTCCGTAACGATCACGATCATCATGTCTGTCTAGTATTGTATACCGTTGTGTACCGTTTCTGAATTAATTATATGGTCGTGCATAAACCTTTAACTTCATTTAAAAAGCCCTGTTACGTTTCGAAGAATTATTCTACGAACATCATATATCTTAATGGAAACCAAATTAAAGACAATAATGTAATCACATTCTTTCAGCTTAATAAATTTATTGCACATATTCCCAGTGTCAAGCTACGTATTTTACATGATCTAAACTTAATTTACAGCTTTAGCGGAATAAAACTGGCCGTTAAATACTTTGAAACGCTGAAAACTCAATATTAAGCCTCAAATGTAAGAATATGGAAACATCATTTCACACACTTAAAGTATCTTGAGATATGTTTGGTTCGACTTAATACTGCCACGAGAAATTAGAAAAACAAAAGTCTAATGGGCAGAATAATAGCTCGGCACGTGAGTTTTAAAACTTTGTACATTTCTTAGCCGTCCTCAGCAAAACAACAATAGGGACTTTAAGCAAACCACGACGGCTACGGCAACGAGAACGTGGAAAAACAATAGATCTAATTGGCAGAACAATAGCCCAGCACGTGCATTTTAAANGAGTGCTTAGCAAACCTCCCAAGTGCATCCATAACTCAATAGTGTACGCTGTGGTGTTTACCATTTGTTTTATAACATAACATTAACACATTGTAGCTAAAGAGTTCCCTTTTATTTAACAAATCTTACGTGACCAGAAAAAAACAAGCGCGCGCGGAAAAATAGTCTTTGCATTTGCTCACGTCAGCAGCGTACACCCATGGGCAAATGGGGGACGCTAAATTGACCAATCAGAGCGCGCGCTTTACTTTGGTTATGTTATAATGCCATGTTTTCGTTTCACGGACAGTCTGCATTTTGTTCTTTTTAGGGAAATAGTCGAGCGAGGTAAGTGCAACGGGAACCCTAGTGCTCACTCTGCGGAAAAAATAGACAACAAAACAGCTCAGAAACTAAAGGGACTATACCTCAGGGTAAGAGGTTAATGATGTAATACGTATACAACAAAAATTAGAATTTATTGTTATTTTTAGCCATTTTACCTGGCATAAAACCATGAAGTAATCGTACGGTGGGATCGAAAAAAACTGGATAATCCTAATTAAACTTAAAAGGAATTGAGGATACGTATTGAGATAAACTCGATTTACAGACGATGAATTTTAGAAAAAGTGAGATAAAGTTTTCAAGAAGGATAATTTTGACGTGGCTCCTTTGGTTCATTGACCGAAAAGTATAGAATACGGACCAAGTGTGAAAATGGATAGATTTCAAAACTCGATATCTGTAGGTATGGAGTAGTGAAAGTTTGGTGTTTGACGCGGAGAATTCTTAGTTGAGACCACACCCAGCAATCAAGTCCTCCCTCCTTTCCCTTTCTCTTCTAGGACTTCAAATTAATACCAGTTTTTTTTTTTCAGCACTATTTTCCAGACTATTTTTAGCCTTAAAAGACTAGTTATTATGTATCGTCTGTGGGGGCGGAGGATTTTTGTTGTGTCAGAATAAAATTTACCTGATCCCTCCATAAGGCTTTGTAGTTTTCTAATGATTCCCCCTTATTGGCGGTTTATT